ACCTGAGAATAAAAAAAAGAGAGAGAAAACTTTGTTACTGGCTTTCTGACAATGGCAGGGAGTGTGTTAAACCAGTGTAAAATTCAATTAAACTGTCTAGCCAGGTTTTTGAAGCTGAAATGCAGACCCTTTCTGTTAAGCTTCTTATTTTCCTGTGACCGACACCGGTGGATGCTGGGTTATGCCAAAACCAACAGTCTGTAAAGTACCTTGTTTCATGCTCCCAGATGATCAATATTTTTATTTTCCAGGCTTGCCCAGAAATCTGGAGGCAGTATCACCTAACGGTGAGTAGAAGCACCTTTTTTATTTTCCCCAAGATCCAGCCTATTTACCCTTCTCTGAACTGCTGACCATAAAATATAGACAAGCATCTTCTGCTAGAAGATAATAAACATCTGGAGAGTTTTTGTACTGAAACAGTAATAATATACTTTTTCACTTCTGCCCTGCCCACTAACCTATCCTTTATCTTTCTCTTCCTGAAAGATTTTGATTGTTTTTATCACGTCATTTAATAATTTCATCATGGTATCTCTCAGTCTTCCTAGACTATATTCATTAACTTGAAGAGGAAAAATATGTTAGACACAAGAAGAAAGAGCAATAATGAAGTATCTTTAAAATACTGTATTGTAACACTCTATAAGAATATAATCCACAGTATCTTCCGTTGTCCTTTTTATACCTTTACTGAATCATTTATACATTTTAAATGGAGCTAGAAAAGGCTTAATATATCCTTCCTATTATAGCACAATTAATTTATCCTTGACTTATGTAAATATCAACTTAGTATTCGAATTATTCACTCCTGTAATTTGTTTTTATTATGATTTTTGTCTAAGTAGAAGCAGAAACATAATTGCTATAGTATTCAGTTAGCTAATACTCAATATCATTGTCAGTTTACTCTTACTCAGCTTAATTTCAGAAATTCAATACAGCCCTACTAGTCATTATTAATGTCATTTTTAATTAAATAAATTGTGCCATAGACCATGTAAACTGTCTATATACATGATAATTGTTTTAAAAAATTGATTTTAAAAAGGTTGTAAAAAAGAGAAAGGACAAATTTTTTGTAAAGCAAGTCTTCTGCTTTCCTCTAACAAATAAAAAATCAACCAAGAAGTATACCCATTTCCCATTCTGTCAGAGGGCCAAAGGCAGGCCTTATAGTATCAGGTGTTTTCATATTTTGTTATTGCTGCTTATTTGAAGCTTTTCAGTAGAAAGTTATATAATTCCTCAGCTATCCCTGAGATCCTAAATAAGGGTTAAAAGCTTCCATATTATACCAAAAGATATGTTTATACCCATATGTATTACACATACATGTGATATATGTAGTATATATGAGCACAGTATGTTTATGTAATAAGTTTTTATAGCCTAATGACCTCATTATAGCCAAAACTTGACTAAATCATATTTGGTGCTCATTGTCAGTATTTCTATTCTCAGTATTTTTTGTTATCTTTATTAAACAACACCCTAATAGATTTGTTTCTTTTAGTATTTTTTCTCTAATTCAATAATTCCAATTTTGAAAACCTAAAGTATGGGAAGTACTATGCTATAACTACTATTTTTCATTCTTTGCACTTTGTTCTTTCGTGTAACTGTTTTTGAAGAGTAAACATTGATTTCAGGTATAACAAATATTTGACAGTTTGTTTGGGATCTTAGTTTCTCAGAAACATAAGTTGTAAAAAGAATAGTTGGGACAAAACAAATAACAAAATGAGTTTGCCTTGGGTAGAATATGTATACATTCTATTTGTAGGCAAAATAAACTGAATCAAAGTTCCAGTCTAGATAGTTTTTCAAACTATTGTTGAAGTTGCCATCACAGTTTATAATTATCAAGTTCCAATGGGTAATGAATATACTGGGTAAGTATAAATGTAACACTAACATGTAGATGTGTTACTAATATTTTATTAATCCATCTAAAGTAAAATAGTTTTATTAACTATTTAAATTACTATCAGTGTATGGGCAATGCCTAAATGTATGCAATTAAGCAATTTTCAATGTTGAGTAAAAGCAAGATGCATGCTGATTTTAGTCAGCTTCAGTTCTTTTACTAAGCGATGGACTGCCATCTATTGACTCACAGTAGCCTTCACATGTGAATATGGCATCAATCAAAGCAAAGACCAAGTAACTAGATTGGAATTGCTAAATTCATTTAAGCCAATCTGCTTAAAACTCTGGAACTTTCAACACTTAATCATGAGTTCATTTGTTCTTAAAACCAAAAATTATCTGTTGTTTACCCACAGAAGACAGTTTTATTTGAGGTTGGAGATTGGAAATGTTTACATTTTCTCAACTACTTTTATCTGCCTTCCAACTAATAGGACTAAAAGGTCATTTACACAACAACTTCAATATAAGGAATCACTTTCTCAAAAAAACAAAAAACCTGTAGTTTAGACAGAAGATTGGTTTCCAAATACATAAAATGGTGGTTGATTAACATAAATGGAATTGTAAAGTGGTCCATATTAAAATTCCTTAAAACATTTTGAAGTAAGAGGGTTATAGAAGTGTTCACTATTTTCAACAATCTCATAAGACATAAAATGTAGTTTCTTTTGACAACTTGAATCTGACTAAAACAGCTCTCTAACCAAACTTGATTTCATTGAATTAGTGCAAACTAAAACCATCATTCAGAAGGTTTTGTGCTTAAAAAAAAAAAAACTCTAAAATACACACAAACACGTACATGTGCATACATGCTAATAACCATTTAGCTATGCTGTTTTTCTTTATTAAATTTTAATGGCTATAAAAGTCATAAATTTAATACCTGCAAATTGTTGGTTTGGAGACCTAAATGGGGAAAAAATATTTTGATTTTGCGATTACTTAATATCCTCCAATAGTTTATTTACCTCCTCCAAAAATGTCTGAAAAGTTTTAAATTTTTTTAAGTGTAGTTCTATTTTTGAATTTTAATTGTCCATTTTTTGCTTAATTTTAAGATTTTTAGTGAAGCCTATCTTGAATATTCTTTTTTCTCTCATAAATAAATTAGCCATTCAAGGAGGAAAGTCCCTTCCCCCAACCCCTGTCATTTCCCATGTATATATATTTATTTTTAAATCTAAGCTGATATGGCCACCAGTAGTTTTGCAACCAACGAAGTTTGTAGCTAGTAGAGGCTATGAGTGTCATGCATTGGACATTTTGTTAATGTTGTTTTAATCTACTTGTTTTAAAAAGTAACGAGTTTGCTGTATGGTAGCTGTATATAATGAGAACCAAAAGGGATAATGGATTGTTTATGTTTATTTTGGCCTTTGTGTATCCAGACAGCTCTGCTACCATTTATTTTAGCTACAGATATAAAGATAAGGAGGCAAATATAACTTTTCTTATAATAATTACATTTTTAACTTCATAATGTTTTATATAATGCTTGGATTACTTAGAAATCACACTTAGAAAATTAAAATACTTACTGTCTGGAAAGTGGGAATAGTAGAGAAATGAGTTTCCTTGCGTGGCTGTCTGGCCCAGAAAAGGCTATGGCCAGAGTTTAGTAGTAATCAATAGTAGTCTTATCTGGACCATTTAAATGGCTGAGTATGTTATGGAACCATAGTTAACAATATTCCATTTCATTTTACCACTTTGTTTTCTCTGCCTACCTGGAAATATCAATCTAGAAATGTATTTTCTTGGTTTCACAGTATGAGAATGTTTTCACAGTATGAATTCTGCACTAAATGAGAATTTTATCCTCTAAAGAATTCTGTGTCATGCCACAGAGTGTGCACCCTAAATGTCCGTGGGAATTTAACTTAAGAACTATGTTTTACAGTTCAGAAGAAGGAATAAGAAAATCTTTATCCTGGGATTGTAATATAAGATACAGTAGATAGCAATTTTCTAACTGCTAAATTTTTAACTGCTAATTTTCTAATACTCAAATGGGATGTTTTCTTTTTAAAAAAATTAAAATGAGAAGTAAAGACTTTGAAAAAGCCAACCTCATCCTGATCTTTTTCTTCCCATGGTGGGGGGAGGGTAGAAATGATGCTTTCTCTTAATTGGTTATGTGTTAGGAATCTTAAATATCTGAGTGCTCCTTGGCTATAAAAGCAGGCTGCAAAGGCCGCAGAGACCGTGCCCACACCCCCTGTATATATCTGGAGAAGGGGCAGGTTTGTGAGTGCATGTGTGAATATGTTTAAGAAAATGGAATTAGAAGGGTTGGAGATACAGCTCAATGGTAGAACACTTGCATACACTCCATACACAAGTCCCTAGGTTTGATTACCAGAGCATGTACACACATGTGCATGTGTATGCGCACACACACATTCGTGCACCACAATAAAACTAGTAACATACTGCTTTTTAGAATAGTAACTCCAGAAAAGTGAAGCCTAATTCTCACTGTATTTTGAAGTTTTTCACAACAAATACTCTAGGTACATTTTTTGGAGGGTCTGGAATACAGATTATCACAAGCTAACACAGTGGAAGCTCATTTTAGAAGCTTCTATTTTGGTAGTTCAATTTACTTTGCTAACTTAAACCAAGAATGCTCTTGTGTAAATCATAGGGAGTTTTCCTATACATACCTAGTATTGTTTCAGTGTTTTAGTTATCCAAGTGTTGCTATTAAAATATCTACCAAGATTTCACATTTAATTTTTGTTAAAAATGACATTTATACCAAAACACTACTAAAGTTAATGTGATTATGATCTGATCATTCAGAAGTTATATGTCTGCTATACTTCAGGACCATCTTTTTCTTACAGTACTATAAACTGGATTGCTTTAGTTTTCAATTTACTTGGTATTTGAATGATGAGAGAGGGTTTTTTTTTTTTTTTTTTTTTTTTTGGTTTGTTTCATTTGTTTTCTTTTCTGCATTGCTGGGAACTGAACCCAAAACCTTCCTCATACTAAGCATGTACTTTGCCACTGGGCTGCACCTCCAGCTGCAACTAGAATTTTTTTTAATAACCTTTGATTACTTACTTCTAAATATTCCTGATGACTAGCATAAGAAATGAATTTGGACAGTGACCAAAAATATTTAAATTTTTATCAGATGGAAAATTTACAAAGTTTTATATTAATTTTAAATGTTTATTAGGAGCGACGGGTGACAATGTTGTCAGACACCTTATACTCATATACTGTTTTGTAGAATGGGAACTTCTTTGTACAACTACTTAAAGATAATAATAAAAAATTAAATTAAAAAATTTTAAATCTTTATACTTTAGGAATTTAATGTCTTGGCCATGTT